CATTCGATCTGGTAACCACTAAAATCTGCGTCGTTTTACCACTTTTAGCGACAAAAACGGCAGAGGACAATCACTGTATCAGCCCGGACAATCACTGTGTCAAAGGGGTCAATCACTGTGACAATCGTGCCCTGAATTCATGGACTGTTTAAACCAAGAAGAATTTCGAATTTCACACAACGGACTCCGCCTAGTCCTAGCCTGAACCTTTACCTAGCCATTGCACTTCACGAATTTGAAAAATCTTGACTACGAGCTAGATGGCAGCCGGGTGAACGAATATGTGCGCTTAAAGGGTCAATCACTGTATCCTCTACCCTACCTGCAGGTGTGCGACTTTCGTACACTTGGATTTCCAGTGCAAGAGCGCACTCTACCACTCTCGCAAGGACCTACATTGGTTGCAGTGTAACCTATAAAAGCGACCTCAGAGAGGAGACGACGCGCAGACCACAGGCCACACGAGTGTGGGACCCCTCGATGATTTACACTAATAAACTAAGGGTGCAACTGCAAGATGATGAACACACCTTCAAGTGGACACCTACCGAGTGTACTGCTGCGAAGTTTGAACACTTGCAAGTATTTAACTTACAGTTGCGCATTTCCAAGTGTTAAGCAGTTGTACACTTAGTTTTTTAGTGTACATTATACACACCTCCGCCGTGCTGTCCTCCAGGATTGAGTCGGACTGGTTGGGGTCTTCGCGCGGGTCAGCGACCTCATACTACAAAATGTTTACATCAAAAGTTTGTTATTATAAGATCGATTCAAAAAGAACCCACAAGGCGTTCCGCCTCTTGCCTCTGTGCGGAAGTCTCTCACAATCTGCTATGCGATTTTTATAGAGGCGAGAATTCAATAGACTAAATAGTTTCTTTTAAGAAAGATCTTTTGGCAATTTTTTTTTCTTTTTTTTATGGAAAAGATCTAAAAAAAATAAAAAATACTGCACTCGTCTCTGACACAGATTTTTTGATACCTTTTTGCCGTCCTGTTCCACGAAGTCGGAGAAAAGCTCGTCGGAACTGCTTTTTGAAGTTGCGGCCTGCGTATATTAAAATGAAAGTGTTATTCGGAAACGGGAGTCGATCACATTTTATGAGCTCTCACAGGAAAAACAAAGGCAGGGCTAATGAATTTGAGTTTAAAGTGGTGTTAAATTTTAATGCCTTCGCAAAGGTGCGAAAATGGGCATTCGAACAAGCAGAAACTACTTAAAATGTGACCCGCAGACTGTAAAGCATACACATCTTTAAGACCGTCGGTATGAAACTTGTGGTGGTAGCACGTAAAAGAGCGCACAACCGATGGGCCTAGCACCACCGGCAGGTCCCAGGCAAAAAAGTTCCCTCTCCCAGCACAAGGAGAAGAATGAACTGCTTGAAACCTAAACTTTTGAGCTCCAGATGTCCCAGACCCACTAAACTGTCCAAAAGCATGAAATTGTACACCTTTCGCGGGTAGTTTTGAATCCTTTGCAAATGCATTAAAACCCGTTCTGTACTACTTTTGATTTTCCAGTAGCGCTCGCTTAAATCGTAAATTAGGGAATCTGATTATCCTGGTAAATTCGGCATAGTGTGCGTACATGTGCAGTGAGGGCAGCAGCACAGCAGCAGAGCGCTGCCAGGAGGAGTCCGTGTCGCGTCATGGTCGGGTCCGTGCGACTAACTGAAGGCAGCTGCCTTATGCATCGCACCCAGGTTAACGGCGCTTCGACCACACGATCATACGACAGTCACGCCGCCCATCACACCTGAAACACACACTCCCATGTGCGCATAATCGCTGCGATGTGCGGCACTGTACTGAGTCACATCACACTGGTAAAACAAGTGTTTAATTTTGCACGTCAATTTACGTTTAAGTTCATGTGTGCATTTTCGTGACACTTTGTGCACGGTAAAAAGAATGTCTTGAAATCCGAGGAAATGTCTTGGATTTCAAGGTCGGGTGGATAATTTCAAGATTGGCCCTTGAAATCCCAGACTCTGTCTTGAAACCCGTAGCTTCCAAGGGAAATCCTTGGAATTTTCGTCTGGTATTCAAGGATTTTCCTTGAAGTACCCAGATCGTGCTTCAAGGAAAATCCTTGAATACCAGACAAAAATTCCAAGGATTTCCCTTGGAAGCTACCGGTTTCAAGACAGAGTCTGGGATTTCAAGGGCCAATTATGAAATTATCCACCCGACCTTGAAATCCAAGACATTTCCTCGGATTTCAAGACATTCTTTTTACCGTGTGGTGTCTAACCATGTTATACGTCAATTGGTGTTTAAATTTTCGACACTTCCGAAACGTAAAGCAGATGCACACGGTATTGTTTCCTATTGACAGATAGAACTGCGTGTGTCGAAGTGTGCAGAATTTAAACGTTTACAAAACATCTAAAATTTGCACACTACGCAAGTGTGCCACTTGAGTTAAACACCATGTAATGTGCTTAATCACAACTTACACACGTTTGGTG